TGTTTGCCAAATCAGTTTTTTTTTGGAGAGAGTGCGCGCGCGAAAAAAGAAAATAATGAAAGGATTAAAAGGGGGAAGGATCCCATCATTTGGCATTTGTCACCCTTCCAGGGATCACCCTATTTTTTTTTCCTATTTTCCTTATCGACGCCTTGAGATTTTCCTTTTGCATTTCCCTCCGCCACCGCCGTCCTTTCATTAGTGAAATGCGGAAAATTGCAAATGATTCAATTCTAATCCGATGCCGCGAGACTCGACTCGTCTCATTTAAATTTTTGCACACTTCAAGTGATCGGAATCTCACGATGGCAAAAAGAAAAGGGTTCCTTTGAGGACGATTTAGATTCAAGGATGGATGATTTTGTCACATCCCGACAGAGAGAGACTGCTGTCAAGTGAGCCGCACTTAATGAAGTAGCAAAAGGGAAAAAGATCGCAACAAAGATCGCTTGAAGTTTCGCACAAGATCTGTAGGATATCTCCCGTGCCCGAGCTCTGGCAATTGTTATAATAATATTTTCAATGACATGACAGTCCCATAGATTTGCATTAATGATATGCGGCCCGATGATGTGCAACATTTGTACGTCCCTGCCCCTAAGAAGTTTTGGTAAAAGGGTTGCGCGGTCTTCTTTCTGACGGAATCTTGATGGGTTTCCATTTTTTCTACTTCTTCTTTTTTTTTTTTTTTTGTCTTCTAGAAGTGTTGGGTTCCGTAAGGTATATTGGCAATTATAGCTAGGATGATGCATGGCAATATTATGCAGAGCATATGCAAATCAGGGGGGGAGTTATAATCCAGATCTAGGAATCCCTAAGATTGATTATGTCAAGGGCTGTGACTAGACTAGGCGCTTCTTCGTTGAATATTTATGGATATATCCATCAGCAATCTTCTGGGTTTTTCCTACAGTTCAGATTATTGACAAAAAAAAAAGCAAATTGATTGATTATTTTTAGGGCTAGGAAGGATTATATTGAAATAATGCTTTTTTGATGCATCTTCTTTTGACATTTTTGCATATTTTTGGATCCTTAAAGGTTCCCACACATCTATGTATATGATAAGGAGAATGTTTTAATATTATATAAAACTTTTACATACCTTCAATAGCATCTCAAAAGTAAGTCTTACAGAATTTTCATTTAAGTTACATTTATTAATAATAAACTCTTTCTATTTCAAGCAGAAGTTCCTAGAGAGACATTGATTGCCCTTGTATTATTATGAACTTTCCTAAGCACGTGGTCTAGATTTTCAGCTGTGACCGCAGGCCAAGGACCCTTGATAAGGCACCTTCTTTGGACCTTCACCACTTTTCGTGACCTTTACACCTGCCTTGGACAATGTGCGGTTTGGCAGCCCAAATAACATGTTATGTGCAGCCTAATTGGACCAAAAAAAAAAAAAAAACAGAAAACAGAAGAAGGATGAGTCCAAAAGTCAAGGGCGGACGCAGCAGCAAGGAACTGAAGGACATTGCCCTGGCCAACAGGTGAAATTTGGTGTGGCTGCGAGGGATACGGCTTGTTAGAACCTTGCTAGAAATATTTCCACTACCAGGTTTTTTTTGGAGCGCATTTAGCGCCTTCATGCGGTGCTCAGAACTCCACCTACTTTACTAATACACTTTGAAAAACTAGTAATAAATATTTATATAACATGTATTAGAAAGCTAGTAGTTATTAGTTTACTGACAAACATTCAAAGACTAAGCTTGGCAAGCCTAGATCTTCAGTAAAGTGTGGTAAATGACTGCTTTAAACTTAAAGAATCCTAAATCCTATAGCATAATAACACTTTTTATTGCAGATTTTAGTTAAAACAACTTTGGTATGTCTAAAAAATTCACTAAAATAAAAGCATTTATAATAATAATATTTATATTTCACAGATAGAAGTCTGTAGGAAAACTGATCACCAATTTTGGCAATGTTTTTCCCTGCACTGATGATAATAATAATAATGATGAGGGGAAGTGAGGAGCACCCGCAGGGCCCAGCCAAACATAACTGTTTAATGCTAAATGTCCATTGTCCTGGTCTCCCGTTTCTGCACATGTTGACACATTCGCACACACGTCAACGATGGCGAGTGACATTGACTTCCTGACAGGACATGCAGGAGACACGGGAAAAACCCGCCCTCTCGCTTCGTGTTCTACTGGTCCTTTTGGGTTTTATCGGGCTGTTTTTGCAACTGTTCGCGCCGATCGATCAGAGATCGCCAGCCAGGATAATATAATGGAGAAGGCACGCGTGCATGGCCGGCCAGCGGATCTCAAGCGGGCCCAACGCGACCAAAATCAACAAAAGTGTGCGGGTCGAAAGGTGCGTTAAATATTTTGTCAATCGGTTCGGTAGGATATATCTGCCTTTCTCTGTCTATATGGTATATATATATATATATACATTTTCAGATCCCAAAACACCGATACGATACTTTTGTCAATGTACAAAATTAAGCGGGTGCCTGGGCGGGCGCTGTTGTTGTTTCCCATTTTCGCCACTCGAGAAACGTTTAAATTGCAATTAGAGTTTTGGAGTGTGCCCGCTTTTAATGGCCGATTTTTCACGAATTTTCTCAATTTACCAAAATTGGGTTTCAAATTGAGTGCAGATTTTATTGTCTCGCCTTTATCTTTATTAAAGTGTGGCCACAAAATGGTTTGAAAGGAAACATTTCAATTTAGAACTGTGGAAATTTCATTGAAGTTTTCAGCAAAATAGTTTTTGAAACCTTTTTAATGGATATTTAAAATATTTTCAGTTACTATTATTTCGTATGAAATTGTAAAATAGTACACGTGCAAGTATATCTAAGTATTAACCCCCCTTTAAAAAATGTTACAAACCTACTTACTCTTAACCTTTTTCAGATTTACCTCACAATCTACAATCGGTTATGGAACCTTGCCTCGCCTAATACTCGACTCATTATTCGTCAACCATCCGAAACCGGAGGAAGATAGTAAGAGGATCCCAAACTTACCAACTACATGGCACTTCCGGATTTCGGAATGCGTAAGTATCCGTTTCACTTTCAATCAAAACGAAATTAAAGAAATGCATGTTTAATGAGACGACAAGTCCGAAAACTGGACAAGAAAAATTCAGAGCGGGAAAAGTTGGGTTAAAATTCAGTAGCGGCGGTCATTAGCCGGAGGGACAAGAACCAGATAATAATAACAATAATAATAATGGGCAACAGCCCAAAACAGCTCGCGGTGGAAAACTAAAGAAAAGCGAAAGTAATAAAAAAGAAAACAGCGGCGTGAACCTTTCCTTTTCTTTTTGTATTTCAAAAGTTCAGGATGAGGGTTTGACAAGGCAAGGAACCTGCCCTGATTTCGGCGGGTTATATATGTATATATATATCCTTTGGCCAGGCTGCTTGACCGCTCGACCTTCTTGCGATCGAAAACTTGAAGGGAGTTCGTCCCCGGGTATCACGTAATAAAGTATTTTACTTTGTTTTCCCTGTCACAGTGGACAATGTGTATGGCTGCACGAGATGATGGTCAACCCATCATCATCTGCATATGAAACTTTCACGCTCTACTGAACATTGCCATGGGAAGTGGGGAATAGGAAGTGGTAGTGGAAGTGGAAGTAGTCGTAGAAGTTCCTTTTTGCTGCCCAGACATCGTGTTAACGCTTTTGGCTTAACCCACTCTCTGCTCCTTGTCTCAGGGGTTGGGACAAAATGTTATGACAGCTCATTTAACGCCGCGTCTGTCGAGTGGATTGGTGACCCATCGATCGGTTGACATCCATCTGGCCAGTTTAGCTAATGAGGATCGCACGGCAGGACCTCCTTTCGGGGAGCTGTGGGAAAGGCTTGCCATGGTTCTATCTTTTAGGCTCTGCAGGATGTCGATAGCATAGTTATTAGTATTTTCTAACGAGTTCTAATGGCTAGTTTTTCGGGAATATTTAAAATATCTTGTAAGTTTACTAGATTATTGGCTCAGCAGGAGGTGGTTTCTTTGGGAATTGGGTTAGTTCTTTATTTTAACCCTTTTTAAGGAGAAAATTGTTTACAAAATGTTAAACAGGTCTTGAAATTATGGATTTTCCTTTATAACAAGTTGTTAGTTAAAAGAGTTTCCACAAATATTGAGTTGGTATTGGGCTATACTTTTTAAAAAACTATACTGAACGTATCAAAAAAACTAATAAAAGTTATAAATCTTTGTAACTAAGAATCTAAGAATGATTTTATGATTAACACATTGATTTAAGAACAAAACTTGTAAGTTTTGGTCAAAGACTTTCTTTAGATAGAATAGATCTATCTTTAGGATAGAGATCATACAGATTATACAGATTACATCATATAATCATTAAGAAGTTTTACTGTAAAAACCCATTACTATATTTTATGACACTTTTATTACCCATTTTCTTCAGAAAACCTTTGGCAAATCCCAGTTGGGTAACTTCCTCATCTTAACTTAATAACACCTTCGGAAGAAGTTTCCACCTACCTGTTATATTTCCCATTTTCCAGGTAGAGACCTTATCACGTTAGATCCCACATAACTTGGCTGGCTTGCTTACCCACCGAATTCGTGGGCATTTGAACCGTAAATAATAATTTCTTGCGACAATTGTCGCGCAACCCCTTCTGTTGGCCCTCATTAGGAGTAGCGTCCAAGTTTCGGTCACAAAGTCTGGAATGGAATCCCCTATATATATACGAGTATATGTACTCGCTATCGGAGCATTAAAACGCTCATTAAACCCGGTTGTTGTGAGAAAGTTGTGGCAACCACTTGGGCCCTTCGAGTTCCTCCTTCCTCTTTCCTCCTCCCCGAAGAACTCTGAAGAATTACTTTCCACGCACCGCTGAGCTTGGAGAGGTGTTTTGCATAAACTGCTGGTTCCTTGTGGTTTTTATCCGAATTATGATAGCTCCCTCTTCTCCACTCTTCATCCTTCCACCAAGCCAAGGTTAATTTTGCATTAAAAAATGATTTATTCCGATGAGAAAAAAAAAACGTTCTTAGGATTATGAAAAAAAATGTCTTAAAATAAAATAGGAATCTTCTTAAGGATTAGCTATTTTCCACCAGGGAAAAGCTGAGGCGTCTCTTGGTCGCATCTCTGGCCTGCACTTGCAGCCACATGGCGTCCAGCTGGCAAGCGTCTTCTAGATCTTCGCCACCAAATCCTTGGTTCAGCTGGCAGTGCTCCTCCTCCAGCTCACAGTCGCTGGTGGAATTGTGGCCACTGTCCGGGCTAATGTGTCGTATCTTCTGGGCAGAAGCTGCTGCGGTTCCGGACCTAGCAGCAGCCAGCAGTTTTTGTGCCGATTGCCTGACACTAGAAGAGATCTTGGTGGTGATCTTGCGCTTGCGTCGCACCACTCGCTGTCTGCGCAACTGCAGGGAGTGCCGTTTGCCCTGGGATGGGATGGCATTGGAGGTCAGTGGCACAGGAGAACGCACCTCCCGCTCCTCGAAGCCATTAGCTGGCAGGGAATCCCTCCGCGAAGGCGACTTCCAGTACTCGCACAGATCACTGGCCGGATCGAAGGCAGGGCGGTAGGTGGGCGAGGGGGTTTGCGTGTGGGTGTGGCTATTCCGGAGCACCTGCTGCCTGTGTCGCTGGCGGAGATGCTGTCTGGGCTGACGGAGATGCTGCCTGGGATTGGGCAGCACCTTTCGATTGCTCTCCAAGATGGCATCGATCATGCGCTCCAGGGTCACATCCCCCATTTGGCTGGAGCTGAGTGTGTTCTGTTCTGCGGCAGGAGGAGCGGGATGCGGATGAGGTAGTGGCTTCTGCTCCAGGTAGCGTGGCTTCTCGAAGTAGCTGTCCGGGATGCCCACTCCACGCAGGGCGATCATGGAGCCAGGAATGACGGTGGCATTGGGCGAGTACTCCGCCTCGAAGGTGGGCAGGGTGCAGGCGAACTTTTGGGTAGCTGCTGCTCCTGCAGGCACTCCTCTAGCTCCTCCCGATGGTGGTGTGGCCAGGATGTTGCTCAAGTCCTTGAGCAGCGGCGTCCGTGTGTTGAGAGTCAAGGAGCTGGCTGGCAACGGTGTGGAGGTAAGCTGGTTTTCCTTGCCCTGGGCAACTCCCAGAGACTTCCTCTTGAGTTTGCCTCGCAAAGCGTGGAACTCACTGTAGCTGGAGCCCACAACTTCGCTGGCGGCCATCAGCTCATCCCTGGCCAAGTACGAGGGACGTGGCTGGTTGACGGCCCACTTGAGCATCTTCTTTGTCTGACTGCGACGCCTCTTTAGTAGTTCTGTAGTGGGTGCTGCAAGGAAAGAGCAAGGGATCGGGTTAGGGCGGTGTGTTATTTCTGGTTCTGGCATTCCAGAACTTGACTTTTTGAAAGAGCAAACAAAATAAAAAAAAGGGCAGCAGCAAAGTTGCCGGGTGAGTTTTCGGCAATTTTGGCGCGCTTTTTCCGCGATATGTATATATATATAGCACACATATATATATATATCGATTTGGAGAAATCAGCCAAGCGGCAAAAATGAAATCAAAAACGAAATCAACCACTCCTTACGAGCAATTAACTGGACCACGGGCAGCCTTTGGCTGGACCTTAATAATTTAATTGACTCTCGTTCTTGATATGGTCAATTATTTTTAGGAATTTTTAAAGATCTCTTAATATCCATAATGGATTGGATTTATACTTGAGTGGATTCCAAAAAAACATCACTACATATCAAATATATTTATGAATTTTTGTAGGTTTTTGATTTGCTCATTTATACCGAGATTTATTTCAATCTCTCCTTTCAATCACTTTCAATTTACCTTTTAAAGTAGGTTTTTTTTTCTTGTTTCTGGCACTGATTTATTTTTAACAGCAAAAAAATATATCATTCACAGATTTAGTATTGAATTTTTATAAGTTTTAGTATATATATATATATATATATATTGCACGACTTTTTTCTGAGTGTTTCGTTTTGCCCCGTCGCGTTTTTCTGGGAGAAATCGACTGCGTGTGCGTTCCCTTCGCCGTTCGCTGGTTGAATGACTGTCGCCTTAACCCGCAGAACCCTTAGCTGGCCTAGGTGAGACATGGTTTAGCCGGAGAGCGATAGAGTATGAAAACGAGTGAGAGAGCGGACATGTTGCGCATGTGCAGGCGGAAAGAGAGCGTTTAAGTGACAGTTGAAAGGGAAGATCGTTCAATCGAGGACATTGAAAGTGGGTGGCGGGAGTTCTTTCTCGGTTTCTTAGAGTAATTTTATTTCTCTATAAATCACATTGTTTTGGACAATCAATCATTTGTATTTGTATGTAAAAATCAAACATTCTTTATAAGAATTTGTCAAAATTAGGAAGTTAACTTTAAACAATGACATTTCCATTGGAGAAATAATTTGAAGCTATGTTTTTAGTGAAGAAATTTGCAACCTTGTCTAGTCCTTGTTCATTAAACAAAGAGATTAGTAATTTAATTTATAAAATCTTAACTTTTTAATGGTCCTAAAACTATTACTTGACTTTTATTAAGATAGTAGTAAAGAACTAGAATTTGAGATTATATTTCTGGAATACTAAAACTTTCCCATCACATCTTTCCCAAGTGACATCTAAACCAAACTCTGTAATCTCTTTCCAGATAACCCACTTTGTAATACAAATTGGAAACCAATTTCTTATCAACTATATAGTTTACTATAAGATCCCCTTTGATCTACATTAACTTATCTTTGATCAGTTTTTATAACCATTTACCGATCGATTTACGATCTGGTAACAGCTGTGCGAATCTTCAAAGATCGTGAGATTTTTTAATGGCCACCAATGTTGATGATGATGATCAGTTGGCCAAGTTCCTTGATATGAGAAAGAGATGGTGGTAGAGGGAGCGTGTGTGAGGGGGAAAGAACATGGTTGGCCAGCTGTTCTCAACGCCGCTTACGCCACAAAACATAATTTTCAATTACCTTTCTCGCAGCGTGTGGCTCCTTTCACCTTGGTTTCCTTATAATACCCTGTTTTTTAGGATTTACTTTGGATCTTAGGGGTATGCTCTTTTCTGCAGAAAGTAAGGTAATGGGGAGTTGGAATTTGTAGCCCTCTGCTAGAAGGTTTCATATTAAGTAGAACAAATTTTAATTTTGTTTAAGATTTTAAAGAAATGTCTAAAATCTTAAAGATTTACCATTTATATAGTTAGCTAAGAAGCAATTTTGGATCATTAATAGTACCAGGTATCTCATATTCGATACATTCTATCCCTCCAAGACTTCTTGTTTCTTCTTTTTCGTTTTTCGCCAAGAAAAGGACAACACACACACACACACACACAGGAACTTGGGCATTGTACAATTTTGGCCCATTGTTTATGGGACAAGCTGAGCAGCAACAGCGCTGCCAACGTCTCTGTCCGTTGGAAAATGTTGTGGAAAATTGTGCAATTGTTTTGCAATTTATTGGTTAAAGGGCTCCTGCTCTACCTCCGGCTCCTGCTTCTTTCACCTTTCCATTCCATGCTTTCTCTTCCTACTTTTTCTGATCGCAAATTTATGATATTTTCGCAGCCGCCGACTGTCCGTCCGTCCGTTTGTGGAAAATAAGAATTAAATCCGTACATCTGCCCCATCTATAGTTTTAGAATCTTTATTTTCTTTTTGTTTTTTGCTAGATATTGCTTTGCCCAATTTATTTGACAGCATTGTGCGAAAAGTAAAAACATTTCTGGTTTAGTTTGAGGATAGGAAGTTGATGGAAACAGGTCCTTTGGAGATTTTCTATGTCACTACAGTTCCGGACCACCGAGTGGGCTTTAATTTATGGCAACAAAGTGGCAGACTGTCAAGTGTTATGAGTTCATCATGGGGTGAAACCAATATCAGTCCCATGGGAATGTCGTCAGAGAGACATCTTCGTGAGGAAGAATCTTCAAGACATGACAAGGTTTTTTTCATTAATAATACTTTTTTAACAGTGTCTCAAATGTAACTTTAAGTCTTCTTAAAAGATTTCCCATAGCATTTTATTTAAGCTGAAAATACCTAGACAGACCTTGAACTAATTTCGATTTTCTTTATGAGTTTTTCCCAGCAAACTCTTATTCAAATAAATCTCAAATCTCAAACCTTCGTTACGCAAAATTGACATTCGAGAGGCGCGCTTTCCCAGACCGAACTGAGCCCTAATTGAGGACAAGAAAAAAGATGGAAATTGTGCTGCCCAGCGCCTTGGACATCGATCAGCTGCTGAGTGACCAACGATAAATCTCGGAAAAAAACGAAGCAAATTGAAATAAATCAATAATATTGGGCGGAGATCAAGGAAGACGGCACAGCAGCTGCCTCTGCTCCTTCCTTCAGCCTTGAGATGTGCGATCTTCCCAATAATCCGTGCCTGTCCTTTTGAATCAAAGGCAATTTTACGCATTGGTCACTGGCCAAAAGACCGAAGGATAATGCTGGAGGGGAGAGCAGCGTAGAGGGTGACAAAGAAGATAAATTAGGGCAGGAGGTAGCCCCTTTCCCTCTATGTGCTCCTTTGGTTTCATTTTCCAGTTCCTCCTCCAGCCCAGCCGCTAATAAATTGCTCAACAATTGTGCAATTTTTCATAGATTGAGAATTGCACGGCGATTTGCTACCGTTTTCTCTTACATTTCCTAATCAATGGTGTTTTCTTTCTACACTTTGAGAAAATGTTTTAAAATTGATTATTAGGATTTTGTTTTTTGGGAAAGTTAAAGGATTGAAGTTGATAGAAATATTACAATTATAATAGTAGGTAAAAATGTTTAAAAAGTTTCTCATGCTTAGCATTCATTTTACCACATCCATTCTTACTTTCATTAGTCTTATATATTATATCTATCCTATTTAACTTATATATTTAATAATAATATTAAAAATATATTAATAAAACTTTCTTCTCTGTGCAGGATCGCTGCTGATTTTGCCACCCCATACCATATCGCCTCGGCAAAGGAAAAACGTGCGGCGGCAAGGACATCTAGATAAAGTGAAAAGTGGGCAGGGTAAGCAAGAGAAAGAATGAGTCGGGAGGGGGGGAAAGGTAATCTTGAATCACACGCCGCACACTGATAGCGCCAGGACAGGCGGCAGGGTTCTTGAGTAGAAGGCCGAAGGAACCTTAGGACCCACAATCCTTACTGGCCGGCCAGCTGTTCGTGGGATTAGCACAGCTAAAACCGAGAGCTCCCCCTCACCTTTTTGCTTTCTCCCATTACTTTCACCTTCGGGGCGCGCAAAATTATTAAAACCTGGCCCTGAATTATGGGCCATAATTTAGAATTTCAACGAGCGAGAGAGATTGAGAGCTCCTCCCTGCCAGTAGACTGTTTGTATTTGCTTAGAGCTTCCCTCTGGCTCCTTCTTCATTTTTACTTTTTCATTTTCTTGCCTGCTGGCGGGCCAAAAAAAAAATAAACCAAGAGGGTTGGGGGGTTTTTCACAGGACCCAGATCTTTTGATTGATTTGGGATCGACTGTGAAAAGCGTTGGCATCCATTGACAGGCCAGGCACTTCAAGGACCGCAGGCCGATCTAGAGATCGGGTTATATATTTGTCCAGGATCATGTGAAATCCTTAGAAAGGATCTGCAGATCAATAGGTGAGGCAGAACATAGCGAATAATTGGATCTGGCCAAGGATGAACTATAACTGTAAAGGGAAAAGGATATTAAAGCTGGGTGAAATGGATTCTTTAAGCCGTCACTATGGGAAGTTATTTAAAAAGGAAGTTTTTATAGATTTAATTAATAGAATGAAAGCAATGTCTTTGCTTTAAAGACTTTTTTGTGTTTATAATAAAGTTTTCAGAGTTTCTTATTATATTAACATATCAGTATATGGATATAAACTATAAGTAACATTTTCTGATTCTGTATTAGAAGGAAAACTTTCCTCAAAAATATTCCCAACCATCACCATCCAAGACACAAATCAAAATAAAATCTCAATCAACCAATTTCAATTATAATTCTAAAAACGATCAATTTTCGAATATATATATGCATATATCAATCGCCCAAACTATATCCCTTGCGTGTCATTAATATATAAATATATGCTGATCCTTAATAGGGCATTTGTCAGACATTATTCGATGGAAATTCGAACTTGACAAATGCCAAGTGAAATGGCATTGAGAGATGATGGAATGCAAAGCATTCGATTTCAATATCAACCCGATCGCTCCAGGGGGCGGGACGGGAGTTGACATTATTGCAGGGGTAGTGCCAGCCACTAGGTTTTCAAGTTCACTCCAAGGGAATGTCCTTCTAAAATCCTCTAGAAATTCCTCAGCACTCTGAAATGGGAGAGCGAAAACGAGAGAGAGAGAGAGAGAGAGAGCAAAGAACAGTAATCTTACCTTCAATATTGAAAGGTGCTGCCGTTAAAGGTGGTTGTTCAATCGTTACACAGTGAAAAGTAGGGTTCACTTAGAAATATAAACCTAAAATATAATACGAATATGTAAAATATTTAATTAACCAAAAATGTAGTAAATAAGCATACAATATGCTTTGAAATGTGGCTTCAAAAATCTGCAATAATCGAATCTGTAGTCACTTTAAGTTTTTCCCAGTGACCCAAGAGAGCGATCACCCTCCTGAGAGCATGAATTTCGTCTGCTGTCGAGGTGAGCACGCAACGTTGCGTGCGAGGAGAGAATCAGTCACTTTTCGTCTGTTGCAGCGACAGGACGTGCATTTCTCTGCGATCGCGAACAGAAAAAATATTTTTCAAAATTTACAATTTTGATTTCTTAACACCCCGACTCCGTTACGCCCAATTTTTTTTATTTTATAACCGTGCAAAAGGAAATATATTTCTTATATTTTTTACTTGTGAAACAAAACTTTGGATAAGCAGAAAGAAAAGAAAAAAAAACGCGAAAAATTTACAAATAAAAAGGTAAAGATAAGTGAAGTGCATGAAATGGAATATACTTATATATATATATATATATATCACGTGCGCATATTTTCCGGCTAAATGTACATTAAAAATGCATTAAAGCAGAAGTGTCTGGGAAGCGGGCTTTAATTAAAAACACCCCATAAAAAAAATCGCACGAAAATGTATAAATTGTGCGCGTGCGATTTTGGGTTATGTTTGGCCTCGGCTTTAGGTTTGAGTTTTGGGTTTTGGGCTATGGGTTAATGGGTTTTCGAACTCGGGGTTCTCGGCCAAGTGCTCGAGTGCTCTTCAGACCAAAACGAGAGCGGCGGCTGCAAAATGCGCAAAAATGCTAGCACGCATCCAAAACCCGTCCTCCGGATCCCCCTCAATATCCATTCGAGTGGCCAGAGATCGACACCACTGGAGGATGAGGCAGAGGAATTGGTATAGGAAGAGGCCTAGAGTGTGCCGGCACCACCACCCTTTTGCTAATATGCCCACACAGGGAAAAATATATATCTTTGGAAAATAGTTTTTATGAAATGATTTTAAAATTTGATTTTTAACTGTCAAATGTCTGAGAATTTTCTATTTTTTCATAGATTTTTAAACATTATTTATTAAAATCTAAAAAAAAATATTATATTGAATTGATTTTAAATCAAATTTCCTATTATGATTGCTGTTTAAATCTTTAAAAATACTTAAATTTGAATCTAATTAAATTAAAGAACTTACTTAATTATTCGCGAGACTAAAATTTAAAGGTCATAACCTTTGAATTTTTCCCTATAAAATTACAGACTTTAAGCTAATTTTTGATGATATTTTCTCCCTGTGCCGTCGCACCACCCGAGCACACGAGACCCAAGTTCCAAGGCAGAACCTTGGGCTAAATCGCAGCTGGAGGGCAGTGCGATGGGAAAAATGAACCGGCAAGAAACCCAACCGGAGGCCCAAAAAATTCGCGAAGCTTTTGCGCGCTTTTCCTTTGTTCCCGGCGCTCATTGTGCCTGCTCAATTGTTTGCAAGGACAAGCGGAACCAGTAGACTTCTTGCGGAAATCAGGAAGCTGCCATTCAGCTGTGCAAATCCTTGCCAAAAACCCAAGGAAACCCTTGCGAAACTCGTTTCGCTACAAGTTAGTCGGGTTTTCGCTCCATTTTTTTTCGCATTTCAATTCCCCTCTTTCCCCTTTTAAGCTTTGCAAATAGACAATCGCTAACTAGCCCTATCTTTGTGCCACTTTCCAGATCTCCAGAAGAGCACCCAAAGGAGCGACAGACAGCAGCTGGCAAGATGCTCAAGTGGGCAGTCAACCAGCCGCGAAACTCGTATTTGGCCAAGGAGCTGGGCCTGGGAATGGGAACGGGATCGGAAACAGGATCACTGGAGCAGAAGTCCGAGGTGGTGGGCTCCAGCTACAGCGAGTTCCATGCTCTGCGAGGCAAACTCAAGAGGAAGTCTATTGGTGTGGGCCCGGGCAAGGAAAACCAGCTGACCTCAACACCGTTGCCAGCCAGCTCCTTGACTCTCAACACACGGACGCCGCTGCTTAAGGACTTGAGCAACATCCTGGCCACACCGCCTTCGGGAGGAGCGAGTGGAGTGACTGCAGGAGCAGCAGCTACCCAAAAGTTCGCCTGCACCCTGCCTACCTTCGAGGCGGAGTACTCGCCCAATGCCACCGTCATTCCTGGCTCCCTGATCGCCTTGCGTGGAGTGGGCATCCCGGACAGCTACTTCGAGAAGCCACGCTACCTGGAGCAGAAGCCACTACCTCATCCGCATCCCGCTCCTCCTGCCGCAGAACAGAACACACTCAGCTCCAGCCAGATGGGGGATGTGACTCTGGAGCGTATGATCGATGCCATCTTGGAGAGCAATCGAAAGGTGCTGCCCAATCCCAGGCAGCATCTCCGTCAGCCCAGACAGCATCTCCGCCAGCGACACAGGCAGCAGGTGCTCCGGAATAGCCACACCCACACGCAGACCCCCTCGCCCACCTACCGCCCTGCCTTCGATCCGGCCAGCGATCTGTGCGAGTACTGGAAGTCGCCTTCGCGGAGGGATTCCCTGCCAGCTAATGGCTTCGAGGAGCGGGAGGTGCGTTCTCCTGTGCCACTGACCTCCAATGCCATCCCATCCCAGGGCAAACGGCACTCCCTGCAGTTGCGCAGACAGCGAGTGGTGCGACGCAAGCGCAAGATCACCACCAAGATCTCCTCCAGCGTCAGGCAGTCAGCACAGAAGTTGCTAGCTGCGGCTAGGTCTGGATCGGGAGTTCCTAGCCATCGGTGTGCTCAGAAAAGGCGCCACATCAGCCCGGACAGTGGCCACAACTCTACCAGCGACTTCGAAGAGGAGCTGGTTGCCATGGGATCCTGCAGCGGACGTGCGGAGGCGGGCACCAAGCGGCGGCTCAGCTTCTCCTTTGCCGAGGATCTGTTCGTGGAAAAGTGATCCAACCAGGGGGGTTTTTTTTTTATATCTTTATGTTACTTTTTGACTACTGTTTGGTTACGACTAAATCTTTTTTTTGTGTGTGGCTAAAAGCGCAGCATTGCCTTGGAATCCGTATGTTAAAGCAGATCCTATAAATATCTAAGAATCCTTTTTTTTTTGACTAATAAAAAACTGATTTGAAAAACAAGTTTATGTTGGAATTTATAAATGAAAAATTGGTCGAAAAGGGAAAATGTAAAGAAGCCACAAAGGTATGTAAGTGTTATCGCTGGAATGTAAGGACTTCCCTGACATGCCAGCAAAACGGTGGCCTTGTTAGCGTTAGATAAGTACAACCATTAATTAGGGATAAACTGCCTTCTTCGTGGGGATTACTTGGCAGAATTTTTCAGCTATCTTTCTTGTTATTTCTTTTTAAAGGTAAACTGGATTCTCACGGATCCCAGCTCAACGTTCCGCCCATGAATTCATCATCGTGACTGGGCGTACAGGATATACAGGATATATATATATATATGTATATATGTTCGAGGACGGGGGTGTAGGGCCCAACCCTTGGCAGTAGTAAAATTGTTGCGGCACATATCCTGTGCCTCCTTTACACGGTACTTATCACGCACCTGTGCAGCACCACCAAATGGCGAACCACCAACGACAAACGACCAACGACAGCCTACAAAACGTTGGGCATTTGCATAAATTTGCATAGAGTTGACCAAATTCTACGGTCGGTTTGTATCGAATGTTTAGTGCCAGGATTCGAGGTCCTTGTTAACTGTACTTGAGATCTACGAGTGCTAGACGCACCGATCCATAACTCCACAGAAAGAAATAACTATTTTTATTTAAAGAATCATTAAAAATCAGTAAGAAATCAATCTAAAAAGTAATTCTAGTTCATAGAAAACCTATTCCAGAATATTAAGTTTTTCATAAGTAATCCTTGATCATTTTCAACAATAGTTATGATATTTTTTTTCTCAGTGCACTTAAGAATTGTAACTCTGCGACTTACCCACCCATAACTAAGTTATGCCAGTTATATATGCCAGCCGATTTTCAAGGGGGTGGAGATATATATACAGTTTGATCCTTTGCAGTTGCCAGCTGGCAAGGATATGAAATGCAAAGCTAGAACAAGTTGGAATTTTATAGTGGCCCTAAGATCTATATAGGATTTGATATAGGACCAAGCTATAATAATATCTTTTCAGATTTTAAAGTTTAAAGTTTAGTTTGTTAAATATTTAAATTTGTATGTAGATTATATGTACTTTCATTTTTCATCTTTTCTGGAAAAATATTGATAAGTTTTGATATCTCTTGAGTTGAGATATGGAAGTATATGATTTCATTATCTGATTTCTATCTAAATTACATAATTTAATATATAAGATATATACTTATTCGTTGCTCTTCCAGTATTTAGATTTCCATTAAAATACCTTTAGTTAAATACCCTTGGACCCTTGGCCATTGTTTTGGCCTGTTCCTGTTTTCGTTTCTGTAGCAGATCGGATGCCAATGCATTGATCCATTGTTGGACCACTGCCTCCGTTTTTCATTTTCTCTGCTCAATTGAGCTCAGCCCAGCTGCCCAAGAAACTGAATCTCCGACTGAACTCGAGTTCAAGATGACGATGTGAGGGTGGAGGTGGAGGTGTACTCTGATTTGCCGCCCGCTCTCTGTCTAGCCATCTCACTCTATCTTGCCAAATGTCACATAAGAACAGGATCAGAATAAGGATCTTAGGCAGAAGCAGGAGCAGGAGCAGGCGCAGGCGCAAAAACACCTTTACCGAAAAGTGCGCCAAAAGGGAATATGCGAGTATATCGAGCACGAGTCAACGGCAAACACAAAAGGTGCTGGAGGAGGAGGAGTGGGGAATGGGAATCGGAGAATGAGGACAAGAGCAAGAACAAGGAGCAGGCCCAAGAAGAAGAAGAAGAAAAAGGACACAAAATCGCATCGTGGCATGCGTCGGCGGATGAGAAGGGACGGGGAATCCTCGGGGACAGCTGTCGACGCAAACACCAACGCAAATATACACTGAAATGTATGCAAGTTTTCTGTGTTAGTTATATATGTATATATATTGGTACCTTGGAGTCAGAAAAACAATAGTTTTATATTAACCTTTATATAGCCTTACTTTTTGTTACAGTGCAGACAACGTTTAGCGGGGGAGCATAGCCGCGGTCTAAGGATCTAAGGAACCAAGGATAAATAGAAGGAAATTAAGTTGAAGGAGTTGCTCAAGTGCTGCCACATGTTGCCGTTGTAAATTGGACAACAATTGATGGGCCTAATAGGGTTAAGTGCCGGAAATTACGCGATCCAAAAGTGGCAGAAGCTGCGAATTCGCGGGGTCTAGGTTGGCACAATTTTTAAGTACTCTTTTTATAAATAAAAATAATAAAAAAAAACCTTACATTTACAAATTTGATTACAATAATATTAAACAACTTTCCCTTTTTTCTACTTTGTTTTTACATTAACTTCTATTTACAATGGTTAAAACGCTTTCACAAAGTTCTAAGCGAAAGAGAGTGAGATGCGAAATAAACGAAGATCTTTGAAAGCTCATCCTCTCTTTCCCTTCGGCGCTTAAAGTTCTCTTCCCAGCTTTGCACTTACAGTTGTCAGTTGTCAGTCTTAAAGCGTTTCACCCCCAACTTACACGTGTCTATCGCTCCTGCTGTCAAAATTGTGTTAAATAGTTCAATAGATCAAGTCTTATTGTTAAATAATTAAATACAAAGTGATCGCAGGTCTGTGATTTGTGTTTGGTGTAATGCATAGTGTTTTAAGTGTGAATTTACCTAATTTCTATGCGAAAATGAAAGTGACGCCACGCTGGACAAGTGAAAAGGTACGTGCATACACACATACAAAAGTATGTGTGGGTGTTTGTATATTAAATGCATACATATATTGTTTTGCTGTTCAACAAATCAATTAACATATTAAAAATGATCACAGGACTGTGTTTTGTTAAAAATATATTTGGTTTTAATGCTTAATTTATATATTTTCTATGCGCAAATTCTAACGGTGCTTCGCGGGAGCAGCGTAATCGTATATGTGTGCGCGTCTACTTACATGTACATCTGTATGCATGTAAATTTGCATACAAAAATTGGAGAGATATGGAATTGGAGAGAAGGGATTACAAAAGGAAGGTAAAATATGTTTTTTTCTACAAATAAATCTTTGGAGACCTAAGGTAAGTGGCCGTGAAATATGTATTTTTCTCTGTTTTAATGTTTTTTTTTGTTTCTGCAAAAATTAAAATTAAGGAACATGCAAAATATATGCAAAGGAAATTGATAAGGAAATGGAAAGTGGGAATTAGATGCTCAATCATTAAGCAATCCCAATAACAATCTGGATTAATATGGAAAATTATGGTAAGTGGCTCTTTTATATGCTATATAAGGTAGCCAATTGATAGTTAATTAAACGACTGATTGATAAACAAACTCATAGGCTGTCAGTGCTAAAAAGTGCACTGCAAGGCTGTCTTATAGGCCCTTCTTCTTGTTTTACTAACAATTTCTACAACTAATAGTCATCTTTTGAATACTTAAATTCTATATCTTCATAAAAGAAAGAAGAAGAAAATCAATTCTATATTAGTATTTCTGAGTTTTCTTACCCTGAACCCTTTTGTTATATTCTTCGAATTCGATTTCTTAATGAAATGAAATGATCTCTAATGGAGTAAAAGATCTTCATCTCTGGAGAGTGCCTAAAACTGATAACGATCATTAGCGAAGCTGTGAGTTGACACGGTTCAAGATGCCTACTGAACTCAATCAACGTCAGAGGGAAATATATAGGATATAGAGTATAGGGGAAATAAAGCAGAATGAATCGCAACTGTCAATAAATGGAGCACACACTGTAAGGAGGGGAAAAAGTACTGCTAGGGACAAGGCTCTAATCCCATATGACGTGTGTGCAATAAGTAATAAGTGGAAGTGGCCCAAAATAAAAAAAAAAAAAAACCAGACCATCATCAGATCAGGGGAGGATCGGTGAGGAAATTGCCAACTATTTGTATTTGTCAAAGGCTCTGATTTCACGGTAGCAAGAAAATCCAGATTCTCGACGATTAATCAATGTGACGTGAGTGCCTATCCATCTCGCTCTCATTCGCTCCTTCTCATACTCGTTGTCCTTAAAGGACAACATCTTGAGGTTGGTTTGCGCGCCAAACGAATGTCCTGGCTCTGCTTTTAAAATTCCTTTTTGGCCTCATATATTTAAGTCATCTTGGGGATACCCAAATACTAGCACTACATACTACGAAGGGATGACAAACAGAGAGAGAGAGAGAGAGACAAACGGGGTCAGGATCAGGAGTCGGGGCACACCGCAGGATCAAACAATCCAATCGATTTGCATAGTCAGCCTAGCATATATACATATATATAGTGTGGCAGCCAAAAGGGTTGTGTCCTCGATCTCCAGATCTTTAGATTGCGATACCGATTGCTTATGTAAATGTTGTTTGCCCGACAAACTTTAGCTCTCGGCACAATGCCAAATGCAAACTAATAGATACATTTTTATCGCCCCGTCCATCCCAAAGGGTAATTAAGAATCTTTACGGTCAGCCAAAAGGATCACAAAAGGTTGAGGATGCTGTGTGGAAGGAGTAGGGGCCAGGGCCAAGGACTTTCCTTAAGCACTTAAGCCAATTTGATGTGAACTTTTACTTCGATGTTTACCTTGTGGTTTAGACTTACGCCTCGAGCTCTCTCTAATCTTTGGTGGATTTTATTTTAATGCATTCATTAAGTTCCTCGGCCCGGTGACTAGACTATCTTTTTGATAGACTTCTCTTTTGAAAATATCCTGAAAAAGTTTTGGCAATACTTTACTTTTATATTTTATAGGAAAATGTTTAAGAAGAATTGGTTATTGGTTAGCTCTGCACTTGCTGGCTGTTATGTATAGCTTGTTAGAAATTGAGTTAAATAGAGTCAAATACTAACTAATGGGCATGATCAGGTTTAAGTTCTAATACTAGCACCTCTTCTTTGATAAACTTCCATTGGGCAACTTACGACTCTTATCTGAAGCCTTCCTTTGATTTCGAATAAACACCAAACACTGGGTTCAAAAATGTGTGATTAACATTTTATAAAATCAGATTTTGTGTGGTACGGGTAACAATTTGTACAGAAAGTATCTGGTTATGTCCGAATCCAGTCTGATTATGACATGAATCCAGTTTGATTATGTCTCAAATCCAGCTTGATTATGCCCCCAATCCAGTCTGATTAATTGGCTTTGCGCATCTTCCTATCTTCAACCATCCTTTGACGCAGCAGATTCTGCACCACGTAACGGAATCGTATCCTTGAGCGATTGCTTAGGGATCGAAGGATGGGAATCATGCTCATCAGGTAGTTCTGGTCTGAATCATTGGGACCAGGACATGTACGCAAATCCAAAGGCATGTCTTGCAGTGGCTGTTGAGGACTTGGTTGTGGAATCTCATACGGAGTTATAGCAAGTTCGATATTGGGATCCCACAACCAGTTATTGGAGTTCACTTGCCTAGTAATCGCCTCATCGATATCTAATCCTGGTTCCGGTTTGTCCATAACCCAAAATAAGGTCTCATCGGTCTCAAATTGGAGGCCGCCAGGTATATATGATAGGGAATGCAGCTCCGGCTTAGCTTTTGGTAGTGGTTTAGGATGAGAAAAAACGTGTGGTTGTGGTTGTGGACGGGGCTTTGGTTGTGAATGAGAAAGTGAAAGAGGTTGGGAATGTGAAATGGTATGGCGGCGTGGAGGAAGAGGACGTAGTGCATGGGTATGTGGAATGGTAGGACGACATGGATGTAGATGGCGATGTGCCTGTGGAATTGCATGGGGATGTGGATGTGGATGGGAAAAGGGGGAGGAATTGGTATTAGAATATTTATGGGAATTTTGAAGATTTTGACTATTAGGATTGGGATTGGTGTTTTGGTTGCCGGTGACCTGTACGTAGACACGAGTACATGGTTCTTGGTTTGGTTGTAAAAAGACGTCGCGCATGAATTCCATTTCGTTGAAGTAACGCCAGCGCGAAGGTCCGGGACGTCGGATCTCGGTGCGATAGTTACCCCGTAGACCTTTCCAACGGCGCTTGCATTCCTCCACGCTGATTTTCATTACGTCGGCAACGGACCGCCAATCGCTTTCTATTTGTGGTCGTCGTAAGGCGTAGAAGATGCGAGTGTCCCAGAGTGATGGACGACGAGAGATCTCCACAAGAAAACGGCTTCTGTCCAAATCCGTAGAGCAACAATTCGAAGACATTGCAGGTCGTCTTTTTTTTTTTTTTAATTTTTTAGAGTAAAGAATTTAAACTTCTTCATGAAAGATGGAAAAGGAAGAGGATAGAAGCAAAGTCCATCTCTAAATCGATATATATTTTGTTTGTTTTCCTTTTTAACTTTTCATTCTTAGTCGGGGTCCGTAGACTTGCAGTTTTTTTTTTGGTATTTGCTTTATCGATAGCTTTTTGGCAACAATGCTGCCCATAATAATTGTTCTAAATTGAATGCTGCCAAGGGCTGAGTTTGTAAACAAAACAATAGAAATACAAATTGCATTTTAAATAGAAAAATATAAAGAAACGATGTAATATTCCACCAAAATACCTTTTAATTACGATTCCTATAATCTCATGAAGCCATAAAGAGTTCTCACTCCTTGAAGACCTTCGAGAGATAGCCATTGTCTGGGTGTGCACACAATGTTTGTCCACAAAGACTCGTAAAATGTGTAAAAAGTTTCAAATTATATAGGGATAGATGGGTGCTTAATGAATTGTTTTGGAACCCCTAAATCCATGTCGTAAAAACGCACATCCGGAAATTACTTGGGCCGGGCGGCAGGCGAATAAAATATCACTAAAAAGTGTAGTAAAATGCAGAGTTCGATTGTTTGCTATTGGATTTCAGGGATTTATTATCATTTACGATCGGGATGGAAATTTTTAATGATCGCACTTCATCTCTAGCAGCCAGTCCGCGGGACTTTATCAAAATGCCATTTAGAATCCCAGAAACCTTCGGGGCGTGTGCTCTGGCATGGCATGCAGCGAAAAACTATTGTGATTAGCCAGTGATCGAGAGAGAGCGGCGGCGGCAACAGGAGATCCCCTCTAGCATCCTCTAGCAAAGTCATCAAAATTGCACCTTGGCATCGCGCCAGCAGCAGCTGATGATGCGGGCTTCTTACCCCTCTACTGCTCTGGCCCCGTTCAACACTAATTTTCCATGTCATTGTCATTGTGCAGTCATCACTGGGACATGTGCGAAATCTAGCTATCGTCTATATATATATATATCCCCATTCTGATCCTAAATTATAGCCGCGCATATGGGAAATTAGCGTATTCACGAGCAAAATTAGCCGCTGATTATGCTGGTGCTGGCGGTCCTCTTGGATGCAAATAGAATGTCCTGCATCATGAGTGTGTGCCTAGCTTGCAACCTGCTTTGTGGCAAAATTATGGGGGTACGAAAAGTCAGAGGTACACTGAACAAAATGTGGCAATAAAGTAGGGAAGGGAACTTGCTCTTAGCTCTCTTCTTTACCAAAAACTCCTTTAGTTAACTTTAAATCTTATTTGCTATTGAAATTTACCAATAAGTTTCCCTCTTTTTGAGCAGTGTAAACACTAAATATTTATGTCTTCTCCTTAAGGGCATCGAGTGTGTATTTTTCGGGTCTGTTACCCTGAATATTCTGAAGTCCTTTTGCCCCGTGGCACCTGTCTTCATTAGTTTGGCCATCATTTCTTCGACTCACTCGATAAGCAATCAATAGAGAGGGATAGGTAGACTCAAGCAGAAAGAGATGGACAGAACAGACACTTACAGGTGCAAATGCTTGCTCCAATTTGTTTGGCTGCCTGTTTTGGCCTTTCTTTGGGACTCCATTTGGACTTTTTATACCTTTTTGCATATTGATGAGGTCCAATTTATGGCACCCAATTCACCTGCTGATCGGTAACCGAAGAAAATGTAGTGAAGAGCTGAAGCTGAGAGAAAGTTAAAAGGCTTAGATCAGCGGGCCACATGCTGGGCAGGGAAAATTGAAGTTGGAAAAGCGGAAAACTCAAACAGTAGCCTGTTTTCTCGATAATCGACAGGTAGTTTTGGTTCGTTTCCATTAGTTGGCTAGGGAAAAGGGTCATAAAAATGGGAAGTGCTTATATATAGTCTATATATATTTTAACATTAAAGATGAAAAACTGTTTCTAAAGTTGATTTCTTGGCAAGAAAAGTGTAAGAAGTTTTTCTATATCCATTCCTAAAGAACTTTTTCAACATTCTTAGCTTCTAGTCCAGGGGATTCCCTTTTAAAAGTGCCAAATATTCTTAATATCCTCATTAATTTAAGTATTATAGTTTAAAAAAAACACACACACCGCTGGCTATGGTTTTCCTTTTCCTTTAGCTCCTAACGAGGTTACATCATTTGGCCATTTGTTATCCTTGAAGGATAACCACCCTCTTCCAGCTCTCTACTTTCCCAACTCTCTTGCATTTCTCAGCACTGTGGTTCTGGTTCCAAGTCCCACTCCGTATACCTGACTCGTCTGTTAATCCTGGCGCAGGATTCTTTCGCCGTCCTGTGTCGAATGCGAACCAGTTTTCCGCTTCGCTGCAACTGACGCATAAATTGCGGCACTTTCCCGGCCCATTTGCTGCCAAAGCAGGACGAAACAGGACTCTGTCGATCCGTCGATGATGCACTTGGCAAAAAACTAGTTTAGTTTAGTTTTCAAATATGGAATGAGGTTGATATACTTTATGTGGAATTGGAAACCATTTCTCGCTGTGTACGTTTTCCTGTTGGTTTTTCCTTTGGCCAACATTTGCGCCTGCCAAGGAGAAGCTTCCCCCTATTCAAATTGTTTGAACTGGCAATGAGGCACGGTGATTTTTCATTTTCCCGCTAAAAGGGAAAAGGGGTTTTTCTTAGGGTTAGGGTAGATCAGTTTTACGGAGACGCTCTGGCCAGGCAGCACCTGTTTTTCCGGCTCCAGCCCGCGGATTTTATCCACAGCAGCAGCAGCGGCAGCGGCAGCAGCAGGTGCCAATCGAATTCCCCCCCCCTTAACGATGATGACATTTACATATTACTATCCAGCTTGTGGCTCCAGGAGCAGCCTGCTGTTCCACAGGGATCCCTATGCCATATCCCAATCTCTCAGTCGATCCCCGCATGACAATGCTAAGTGGTGGATCCCCCCGCCTTCGCCTGTCGTCGACCCTCATCAAATGAGTCGATTTTATGTTTCCTTACGAATTTTTCACGCTGCATTTTCCGCTGCTGCTGCTGCTGTAGTTGCTGACCAGCGGGAAACTCCTTCGGCAAGGGTTGTAAATGTCCGAGTTTTTCCCCTTCTACCATTTCTTCTGCCTTTAAGACATTTCCCAATGGCACGCGCTTTTGGTCAGTTGGTCAGCGATTGTTTTTCACCCTTTTCCTTGGTTCTTTCTCCGTTGCCTTGTTGTGACATTGGAAAATGGACAATGGAGAATGGGCAGTGGAAAAGCAAGTTGAGATCTTGAGACAATTAAGGGCCAAACCGCGATATGACAGCCCGCGAACGCCCCACAAAAAGAGAACTTGTTGAATGTTTTGGTTTTTGGTATTTGTTGAGTGAAAGTTTAAAGGTTAAAATTGTTAAGTTTTTAAGGAAGATATTTAAGATTTAAGGAGTTTTAAGGTCAAGTTTTTAAGGAAAAGTTTGGCTGTTTATTGGTTTATTTTTTGGATTTATGAGCTTTTTATCGTTATTTTTAATCCTTATTTAAAAACAGTTTATTGATTATTTTTGGGTTTATATCAAAGTTTTTATCAAAGTTTCTTCTTTTTTTTATATCTTTAAACACCTTTTAGTTAGTTAAAAGATATTCTTAAGCTCATTATTGGTTAGATTTTTAATGTTAAAGAATATTTAAGTCTTAAATGCAAATGTTAAAGTCTTTAAAATGAAACTTAAAGCTCTCTTTTCTTTATAAAAACCTTAAAATTTGTAAATTTTTGTATAAATAAATGGGATTAAAAGGTATTCAAACTTATTTGAGAATTAATTCTAATATAAATCTTGCTAATTTTAAAATTAAACATCAGTTTCTAAGTTAATAAGTTTTAAATACTGCAACTTCTCTACAAATTTGTTCCATTTTCTACATTCTAAACCCACTTTACCTTATTAAAACCGAACCTTAACCCTTTATGGCTAATAAAAACCCTTGAAATTCATACGATTTAGACTTAGATAAGAAAGGAAAATAGGAAAATCTTCGTTGTGTGACTTTTAAGCAGCTGCTAGAGAAAGTTCCTTAGAGAGATCCCTTTAGGATTTCCCGAATTTCCCAATTTCCGCTGCACGGGCAATTAGTTAATTAAGCGCTACTTGAAGTGTCCCACTTGGAAATATATCACCCAGGAGTCTCGCTCCTTGTTGACATTTCTGCAGCATCATTCGGAAAATTTGCATATTTAATTGAAGAAACCCAGGAAAAAAAAAAGGAAAACTCTATTTTTTTTTTTAATAATAAAAACTACGAAAATGTCAAGCGAAATATTTTGGGAAAGGCAGAGCAAGAGGAGAAGGAAAAGGAGGTTAAGAGAGAAGGAGAAAGAGATGGAGAAACCAGGACATGGACAGGATGGAGGATCTCTCTAGATGGTGACGAACGAGTGGAAACCCCGCGGCGGCTATCAAGGGAAAGGGTTAAATGCAAATGAATCAAGAGCGAGGGCTATCCCGGAACGGGACACAGGACATACGGACCAGACCTCGGACTCAATCCAACCCCCGAATCCCGGCCAGTTGTCAACCGCGCTTGACAGATCTGCTAGCCCGAAACTGGATTTCTTATTCCTGATTCCTTTTTCCTTTTCGTTTTTTTTTTTTTTTTTTGGAATCCTTGCTTGCTGCTAGGCGCTGCTCCAGCAACAAATTAATTTTCCTTCAACTTGATTTGGGACAGGGACTATATCTATCCCTTACCTTGGATATATATATATATTTTAGGTATATATATGTTTTCTGGTAGGTTTCTGGGAATACAAGGTGAGGTGTTGGCTCTGTATGAGAAAAGCTGTGGCCTGCCTTTCGTTGGGTTGTCCATTTCTTAGTTGGAGTTTGTTTGTGTTTTCATGCCATAAAGTTTAGAGATGCTAAAAGATTTGATAAAATTATTAATCAATGTGCTTGATAGGTTAAGAATAGAGGTTGTGGTTTATAGATTTGATTTTAAAAGATATATTTAGGAGATATATCTAACAAGATTCTAGATAACTTTGAAGGGAAATTTAAGTTTAAAGTCTATAAAGTTTCCTCGATTTTATTTACATTTTCGTATGAATTAACTTAATTTAAAGATAAAATCATTGTAGTTTTATAACTTATTTAAGATTAAAGGTTAATGGTTAAATTTGTTAATATTTAATGGGAAAAATAAACATTTTAAGGATATTTTCTTGAAAAAAAAGAGATTGGGGGTTATTAGTTAAGATAAATGTTAATGAAAATCTTTATCTTTCAGCGCAGTTTTATAACTTATTTATGAACTTATTTAAGCATATTAAAAATCAAAAAATTCTAGGATTTTGTACAGCAGTTAACATTTTTATATACTAAAGAACGAGTTTTCCAAGTGCTTTTCTCTTGTAAATTCCAGAAAATATAGAAAGCTACTTTTGAAGTTTTATAAAGTTTAAAGTTTAACCTATTTTTGATATATGTTTTAAATTTATTTTGTTTTATCTTATTTTTATAAGAAGAAAAGGAATATGTTAATTTTTAGGATGCTTTTCTATAGATTAAAATAATTTGAAAATTTATTATAATGCCTAACTTAACCTAACTAACCTAATAATTAGAATAAAGAATATTACAAATTTTAGCTAGTTTTTCTATAGTTTAATCTAAACAAATTTCTTAACATTTTATATATTTATTTTGTAGAATATTTAATTATTATATTAATAAGATAAAAACTATAAAACTTTCAGCATGGATTTCTATTACAGTTTCTCAGCTTTTTTTTTAATAATAAGATAAAGAATATAGTTTAAGTTTGATTTTCCATAATTAAATCCAGTTTTATGATTTATGAATAATGAGTTAAGGATTATTACAAGTTTTGCCTTGATTTTTTTAAGTTGAACTCAATTTCTAAGCATTTTGTAGATTTGTTTTTGAGAATATTTAACTATTTAAATTAAATTAATTTAAGGATAATGATTTAAGGAATATTACAAGTTAAGTCGTAAGTTTTATATATATTTTATATAGGTCACTTTTTTTTTTATACTTTCCTTTAGTTAAATACGAATTTCTCCCAGTGCATTACCGCACTGCAATGTTCTTTTTATTATTTTCTTTTGATTTTTTTGCGATAACAGCTTTTCCCGCTCCCGCCAAGCTCTATAATTGTGTTAATCAAAACAAAAACAGCAACACGCAAAGGGGGGAAGGGCTGCCCAACGGAAAATTATAGACCGACCCTAGGAAAAAGTCTAGACAGCAGAATCCTGCAAAACCCAACATTGCGATCCTGATCCTGGGCCGCCGGATCCCTTTTGTAACGCCCATCGCGACGCCGTGTCGATAATTTAGAAATTAAATGTAGTTCGCCCAACTGTGAACTGGGAGGAAGGAAAAGGCATTGGGAAAATGTAAGGAAAGCAATGCCGCAAACACACATCACACACAAATCAAATCTAATCAAGCAAAGAAAGAAAGCGCACTTTCCCAAGGCAAGGGGTAGCAGGGCAGGAGCAGGAACACCCCTCCCAGCCAAGGCTAAGGATCACCCCTCACGCTCAGAAAAAAAAAAAAAGAACCTTGGTCTAGTTTTCTTTTTTCTAGTTTTTTTTTTTTTTTTTGTACCTTTCCTTGTTGCAACTGCAATTACATTTCATTTTTCCGGGATTTCCATTTCGTTTTCGATTTCGATTTTGGATCTGAGCCAGGACTCACGCCACAGCCAAGGACGGGGTGTCCTTTTGCCATGGGTGTCAGGATCTGTCCGTCTGTCCGCTATTATTATTATTCTTGTTTTCTTTTTGTTTTTCACTTTTTTTTTTTTTTTAGCCTTAGACTGGCGGGGCCTTGTAATTATTTAGTTTAGGTTTTAGGCCCTGACAGAGTCCTTGGTTTTTTGTGTCTTGATTTTTTCCTTCCTTGATTATTTCTTCTGTGATTTTTCCTTCCTTGATTATTTCTTCTTTAATTTTTCCTTCCTTGATTGCTGGGAGAAAATTGAGTCAGTGGCTTGGAAACTTTCAATTTCATGCTTAGTTTTCCTTAGGAATTAAAGAAGAATGAGAAAAAGAGGTTAAAGATTAGGGAAAAATGGTGGCATAGTTGGAAGACAAGGGTCCAGATTAGTGTAGTTTTATTTAATATTTTTATTAAGATTTTATTTTAAATAATTTAAAAGAGAAAATGTGGAAATTAAGAAGTTTGAAAGGCTTAAAAAGTGCAGAAATGGGAACCTGTTTTAGGCAGCAATTTTAGTCTTTAAAACTACATATAAAAACATTTTAACTTTATAACAATAATTCTGAAAAATTTCCTTTAAAAAGGTAACATTACCTAATTACTTACTTACTAATTAATTATTTATATTACTTTTAGTTTATTTTAAAGAATTAAAAGGAGAAAATGTGGAATTTAAGATGTTTGAAAGACCTAAAAAGTGCAGAAATGAGAATCTGTTTTAGGTAGCAATTTTAGTCTCTAAAAATGTTTAAAAAAATCTAATAACTTTATGACAATAATTCTTAAAAATTCCCTTGAAAAAAGGTAATTATTTACTTACTAATTAATTATTTACATTATTTTATTATTTTATTTTAAAGAATTAAAAGGAGAAATGTGGAATTTATGAAGTTTGAAAGACTTAAAAAGTGCAAAAATAGGAACCTGTCTTAGGCAGCAAATTTAGTCTTTTAAAAATGTATAAAAAACCTATTTAATTTATAACAATAATTCTTAAAAATTCACTTGAAAAAAGGTAACATAACCTAATTATTTACTTATTTTAATATTTTATTTTAAGGAATTAAATGAAGAAAATGTGGAATTTGAGAAAAGTTCAAAAATATTAACTAGTTTTAGGCAGCAATTTTAGCCTCTAAAAAGTGTATAAAAAACCTATTCAATTTATAACAATAATTCTTAATAATTCTTTTAAAAATAAGTAACATTACCTACTAATATAAAATTCTTTTAAAAATATTAAATTATTTTTTATCAAATATTAAAAAACATGCAAAAATTCCTAAACAAACCCAAACTCTTTCTTTTTACATTTTCATTAAATTTCAATTTTGTTTTCCCACATTTAAAAATAACTTTCATTTAGTATTAAATTTCAAGAATATAT